GTCAAATGCTTTTTCTACATCTTTTGAGATGATCATATAATTCTTATCTTTAAGTCTTATTGATGTAATGAATTACGTCTATTGATTTCCATATGTTGAACCAATCTTGCATCCCCAGGATGAACCCCACTTGATCATGGTGCACTATCTTTTAAAGATGTTTTTATTTGAAATTTGCCAGAATTTTATTGAGAATTTTTGCATCTATGTTCATCAAGAATATTGGTCTGAAGTTTCCTTTCCTTGATGTATTGGTGTTAATTATTCTTTGAAGGTTTTGTAGAACATGGCTGAGAATCCGTCTGGTCCTGAAGCTTTTCTTAATTGATAGGCTTTTTTCTTTTTTTTTTTTTTTTTTGGTGGTGCTGGGGATTGAACCCAGGGCTTTGTACATGCAAGGCAAGCACTCTACCAACTGAGCTATATCCCCAGCCCCAATTGATAGGCTTTTGATGAAATCTTCTATTTTGTTGTTTGAAATCGATCTGTTTAAATCATATATGTCCTTCTGATTCAATATGGGTAGGTCATATGTCTCTAGAAATTTGTTGATGTCTTCAAGATTTTCTATTTTATTGAAGTATGAATTTTCACAATAGTTTCTGATTAACTTCTGTATTTCAGTAGTGTCCATCATGATATTTCCTTTTTCATCACAAATTTTAGTAATTTGAATTTTCTTTCTCTTTCTGTTCATTAGTGTGTCTAAGGGTTTATCAAAGAACTAACTTTTTGTTTTGTCCATTTTTTGAATTGTTTCTTTTGTTTCAATTTCACTTATTTCACCTCTGATTTTAATTATTTCCTGTCTTAACTGCTTTTAATGTTGATTTGTTCTTTTTCTAGGGCGTTGAGATGTAATGTTAGGTCTTTATTTGTTGACTTTCTATCTTTTAATGAAAGAGCTCAATGCAGTGAACTTTCCTCTTAGTATTGCCTTCATAGTGCTAAGATTTTGACATGTTTTATCACTATTCTAATTTACTTCTAAGTATTTTTTTATTTCATCCCTAATTTCTTATGCTATTCATTTGTGATTCAATAGTGTATTTAGTCTCCAGATGTTAAAAGTAGCTTCTAGTTTTTATTTTATCATTGATTTCTAATTTCATTCCATTATGATCTGATAGAATTCAGGGTATTAACTCTTTTTTTTTTTTT